CTCCCATCAGAAAGAGCGTTGAGGTCACCCACACTTTTCTCACTAACTCGATGATTTCCCAGAACCAGCACTGCGGTGCGTAGTTTTCATAGAGTAAGCTCAGGCCGTTGGATATTTCTCGACCCTTGCAAACTTGGGCTTCCGCTTCCTCATAAACTTTTCTGTGGTGATATTTCCACAGCAAAAGCAAAACTATAACTGGTATAGCAACAACGAGAAGGAGTAAGAGATAGACCGCTATCACATATCTGTTGTACTTTTTAGTGAAGCACTGGACTGAAAAGTCGGCGCGCAAGAAGTACTGGCACGAGTCGGCGGTGGAGCAAATCCGCTGACACGTTGGCGAGAGAAGATTGAAGATGGTGGTGCACGTCCAGGGGTATGTCACAAAAATCAGCAGGCAAACGACGCGATAGATTTGCGTTTTGTCGGAGGAAAGAGACTCAGCCAGCTCAGCATTGGCTAGCTTTTTACCGTGGATAAGCATCAGTTTCCTTATTTGGTAAATGAACGCTGCTAGAAAAACAATTGCAGTGTTTGACCCTACAACCAGCAATAACTTGGTATATACGTTTATGGTTAAATTGTCAACGAAGCACTGCAAAGGAAAAATCTCCAACAGGTTTAGTTGAACCATATTGGCATAATACACAACTGTTAATAATGCACTCGGCCATTCAACGTACGAAAATGTGTTCAATGTACCAGAAGTGACTTGGTAAAACCCAATAACAATCTTAAGTCTTGCTAGGATCAAGTCAGTTACCGTCCTATTGGAAGCGTATTTTCTTCTTTTGCCCAGAAAGATGCTCACCGCGAGAATAGCAATGATAATGACGATCCCGCTCACTTGTAAAACAAACCAAAGCATCCTGGGACATTTTCGACAACGGTTCAACAGTTGGTAATGGCCTTTACTGCACACTGCGCATAAGGGACCATCATAACCATGGGAACAACTCGACTTCATATCTCCGAGACAGGCGTCAGAGGCTGGGCATTTGTAGACTTGTGGGATTACTCCTTGAAATCTAAGCTGTTTGTATGAGTTATCAGTGATTGAAAGATCTTCAGAAAATTCTTCATATTTCGAAAGACTTTCGTTTGTTGCCCATTTCCAGAAGAAACCTGGTTGCAGTCGCACTGATTCGTTTTGGCAGGCGAGTCCTTGAAAAGGACATCGTGTACACGGGCCAAATCGATCCAATCGATAAAAGTTCGGGAGACACTTGCACCCTTTGAATCCCGCAAATTGGATATTTTCGGTACCTGAAAGTGACGCATGGATCCTGGTATCAGCTCTTTATTAATATTATTTTATAACAATGATATTTTCTCTTTTAACTTTAATACAACTTGATGCCAAGAAACTAAAAGTGGCCATGAAATGTTTTTATCCGTTTATTAGGGTGGACATTAATTTTCAGTTGACTGATAATTCAAAAACGTATTGGCAGCCGTTGCCATAGTGGCTGTCATATTCATTTGCGATCACTTAAAGGTTGACAGTCTGAATATTTGTAAGGTTTCTCGGTAATCTGGATATGAACAATCATCGTAATTGATAGGCCTTGCCAACAAACCTGCCTTAAATTTTATACCGCCTTGTACCAACCTTGAGGACATAAAATACACTCTGTGATGGCTCTTCCTGGGGCAGCGTGAGGGGGTACATAATGACCTAACGGACAAATTTTACACCCCATGCCATGGAATAGTCTTCCAGTGTAGGCAAACTCATCTTGATAGAAACCGCCTGCCGGAAAACAAGTGTCAAATCGTTCAGCTGGTTTGGTTTAAAACAATGACTGGCCTATTCCAGCAATAAAATGAATAAAATATAAATATCTTAATTGACCACTTGCCCAACGAGGGTTTTCAGGGCCAATGCCGGAAACCAAATGATGAACAAGTAATGCAAACGAACATAACATGGTTAAAAATCCCAAATGGCAGGAGGCAGACCAGTTGGCTATTTACAAGCGTGGCCGAGGAGTTAAACTAGGGTCTACTGAGAAACAACTCCAGCTTAGTGGTCAGAGCGCGACTTGAACCCGCAGCCGAGACCAGCCTGGATTTCAAGTCCGGCGC